ACCTGGGCAGATGTTGGTGACCCTGTGTGGCCGTGCTTAAGGACCTGGGCAGATGTTGGTGACCCTGTGTGGCCGTGCTTAAGTACCTGGGCAGATGTTGGTGACACTGGAAGTAAAAGGCGGCTGAGAAAGGGTGGGGCTGCTGAGCACCTTTCAACCTTTCCTGGGAACCCATGGGTCTGGACGGCCTTCCAGATCCTCCAGCCCTGGGGACTGGAGCAAACCCTGGTGTTCGCCTACCTTGGGCCACCCTAGGGCTCTCACCCCACACCAGCCCTGCCCCTCGCCTCCCATTTCACCCTCCTCCTCTGGCCCAGGGGGGAGCAGTGCGGTGGCTGCAGGAGGTCCAACACCACGGATCGGCCCCACGCCTTCCAGGTCATCCTCGCTGACCGGCCCTGTCTGGAGCTCAGCGCCGACAGCGAGACCGAGATGGCCGACTGGATGCAGCACCTCTGCCAGGCCGTATCCAAGGGGGTGAGCGCCTCCTGTCCCACCATCCGCCTGGCCCACCTCACCCCACAGCCAGGACACCAGGGTCATTTCCCGATGCTGGTGAGGACTGAAACAGGTGGCCTCCAGGGGCAGCCTGGGAATTGACCCTGGAGCTCAGGGACCCCTGCAGCCTAGCCCACTCCCACCATGATCCCCTCCCCACACCTAAACTCCTGAGGGGTGGAAGACCTTCCAGATCAGCCGAATAAAGACGGTTGGCCTCTCCCCTGACCCTCTGCTATTGCCCTCCCAGGTCATCCCCCAGGGAGTGGTGCCCAGCCCCTGCATTCCCTGCTGCCTGGTCATCACTGACGACTGCCTCTTCACATGCCATGAGGATTGCCAGACCAGCTTCTTCCGCTCCCTGGGCACAGCCAGGCTAGCCGACATCAGTGCCGTGTCCTCTGAGCCGGGCAAGGAGTACTGTGTCCTGGTGAGCCAGGGGGCAGTGTGGTGGCAGGCCTCTGCAGAGGGAGCTGGGTCAGCTCATCGTAGGCCTCTCTGTCCCAGGAGTTCTCCCAGGACAGCCAGCACCTTCTCCCTCCCTGGGTCATCTACCTGAGCTGCCCTTCTGAACTGGACCGATTTCTGTCTGCACTGGGCGCTACATGGAAGACTGTCTACCAGGTAGCTCACTGCCCAGAAATGTGTCAGCTAGAGCTCTGAGGGGTGAGAGCCATTCCCTGGGGGAGGGGGCCCCCAATTGCTCCCAGGACCCAGCCCTGTGTGACGACAGAGACTGAGTCAGGACCCAAGGGCCCTGCCTCTAAGGTCCTGGAGATAGCAACATGCCAATAGCTCTGGGACTCACAAACATTTAGGACAAAGAGGCAAAACTCCGAATCCCCAGTGACCCTGAGGCGAAAACTGAAAACCGAAACCAGGAGAGCTAATTCTTGGGTTTGTCCATCCAATCCAGAAGCATGAGTGAAGTGCTCATGGTGTGCTGGAGCTGTGCCCAGTGTTGGGGCCCCAGATTGGCAGGAGGCCCCTCACCCTTAGAGATGCTAGTCTGGGAGGACACTTCATTTAATCCCTGAGTGAACACACACTGTGTGCCCACCCTGGGAAGCTCAGGGTTAGCTTGAGGCAGGGAATGATTCCAAACCAGGCCCTGTTGGTGCAGAGCTGAGGAGAGCACAGAGCCCACCTCCCGGGGCCCCGAGAGCCGGGCCTTCCTGGAAGCAAGCACTCAAGGAATTCCACACAACAGCAGCAGAGGCTGTGGGCTGCTCAAGCCCTCGAGAAGAGCAGGGGGATTCAGCAGTGTGGGAGGGATTCCTGGGGCAAGCGAACCCTGGCACCGGGGACTGCATGGCCAAGACAGAGCTAGGCCTATACCCAGATTCCCATGGCTCTGTGGGCATGTAGGCCCAGCACTGCAGCCCCTCAGATCCTCTCCACACCCCACAGGTGGACCTCCCCCACAAAGCCATCCAGGAAGCCTCCAGCCAGAAGAAATTTGAGGACGCCCTGAGTCTTATCCACAGCGCCTGGCAGCGGAGCGACAGCCTGTGCCGCGGCAGAGCCTCCAGGGACCCCTGGTGCTGAGGCTGCACTGGTTGGCATCTCTGCTGAGCAGGAAGGAGGCGCACTCATTGCCGGGTTGCTCCTGCTTGGGGCCAGGCTTGCATGCTGTCCTGCAGCTGACTCCTGCCCTGGGCGGCGGGATGCCAGGTGGGGTCTCTGCAACCCCAGGAATCCAGAGCAGGGTGCCTGACACCCCGGGCATCTGCCCAGCAGGCAGCGAATGGAGAGAGCTGAGGCAAGGGTCCAAGCCCTGTAGGTTCCACAAATGCACTCTCCTCCCCAGGCCTGGTGCCTTCAGTCCGCAGCATCTCCTCTGGATGACGAGGAGAAGAATCTAGACTAAGGGGAAAGTGAAAGGAGTGGGAGGTTGGGAGCCCCTTCTTCCTCTCTGTGGGTCAGGGGCCCAGGCAGAGGCTCAGGGCTGCCCTGGGGGCCCTGAGCGCCTGGCCATCCTTGTTCATTTTTGAACATTGAGCCTGCCTGTGCAGAGAAGCTGGGACACTTCTCTCTCTGCGTCTCTCTGTGTGGCTGCTCCCATTAACACCATCCCTAAGCACTGTTGCCCATCATATCAGAGCCTGGGGCCTGGGCCGGGCCACCACGAGGCCCTGCATGTCCACTGCCCCTGCCTCTCCCTGCAACTGGGCAATTCCCAAGCACCCAGGAACCAAGCCGGGAGCAAAAGGGAGGGAGAAAGGGCTTTGGAGAAGAGGAGAGCCCCCAGCCTGCAGCGTGGCAGACACATTGACGTCAACTGTCCCTGCTTGGCTGGAGCCAGGCCCTTCCCAGGAGCTTTGTGGCAGGCCTTCTCAGAGAAGGGGTCAGGTGGTTTGAGTTTGTTTTTTAAAATAAAATAGACATGTTATATTGCCATGGCTTGTCATTGGCCCTTTTTTGACCAGGGTGGGGATGGGGGAGTCTCCAGCTGCTCCTATCAGGCCGTTCAGATTCATTCATTCATTCACCGTGGGCCATCTGCTCTGCACTCAATCCTCGGGACACACTAGGAACCAGATGACTGTGGCCGCGCCCGTGCTGCCCCCATCTGGAAAAGCTCAGGCCTCCGGGGAGTTTCTTGACCTGATCTTTGCTTTACCTCCTGTTTCCTGTGGCAGCCCCACTCCAGTCCCAGCCTCTTAGGATTACCTAATAAGCAAAGTAAGCACAGGCTTATTTCTGCTTACTTACTAATCTACAGTGAACAATTTAACATTTTTTCATCACATCAAAGCTTCTGCTTCTGGGTGTGATTGGCATCTATCTCTCTTCTAACCCCACAGCGCCTTCCTACAGAACCAAAGCCTCTTTTCAAATTTATAATCCCTGACAGGGCTGGTGTGCCCAGTAAGCAAGGTAAGCACAGGCTTACTTGTGCTTACTTACTAGAGTGAATAATTTTATACATGTGAAATTTATTGGGTAATTTGCCCTTGGTCCCAGGACATATCCCAGGGAAGGACAAGCTGAGGTTGAACTCCTGCCTTTCTGCTCCAGGAGTGAGTACCAGCTCCTCTTGGAGTAAACTCAGCAGGGTCCGAGCTGCCCCCAGGGCCTCTTGCTGAGCTGCTCCCTCCGGGGGCTACCCAGACAGCCCGGGACAGGCCAGGGAGCGCCAAGTCCTCATCCCATGTGGCCTTGTACATGTTAAGAGTAAAACCTACAACTGAGAGAAGGCTCCCTATATCCCAGGCACTCAAGGCCTCCCACTGGGCAGAGTGTTGTTGTTATTTGCCTTGGAGTCGGCCCGACTCATAGTGACCCCTCCTTGGGTTTCTGAGGCAGTATCACTATGGAAGTAGGATTGCCCAACCTTCCTTCTGAGGAGTGGCTGGTGGGTTTGAACCACCAGCCTTCTGGTTAACAGTCAAGTGCCTTAGGCACTATGCTACCAGAGCTCCTGGGCAGAGTGTGGAGGCTGCAAAAGGGTGGGCTTCTGGGCAGGAGGGAAGTGGCAGGAAAACCCAAGATGGACAGGATGGCACTGAGAAAGACAGGCCCCCAACAGCGGTGCTCAGGGTGGGAGTTTCTTTCTTTCTCCCCAGGCACCAAAGGGCCATTTGTATCCAGGGTTCCTCTCTCCTGCCCAACAAGGAGCAGGTCTTTTGGGGTGGACAGGTACCACAAAGCCGCCTGCCCCTCCTGATGTCCACCAGGAGGAGAGGGCAGGCCCCGGGGGGGTAAGTCATTCCTACCAAGGCTGCCTCACTGGGCTTCTGTTATAAGTTGAGGTGGTGTGTACTCACTTCCCCAGCAAAGTTGTTAACTCAGGAGAGCCAGCCCTATTGTTGAAATCTGAAACTTCTTGGGTGAAAAATAAATCATGGGATTCGGGTGAGGCCAGGTGTTGCTTGTTCAGTATCTCAAGCCCAGAAAGATGAGTTAATTCTTGAAGGAAATGATATTGAACTTGTATCAAATTCACCTGCTTACATTTGGTTAGAAACAAGGATATCAGAAAATGTATGTTGCTGAAACTGTTCAACAAGCTGATGAGTAAGATCTAAGAGTTGTCCAGCTACAGAAACAAAGCTAGATGATCCCTAAGACCTATGGGTGATAGTTTTAAGTTTCAATAAAAGCCATCTATTGAAAAGTTCTGGTGGTGTAGTGCCTAAGGCAGTTGACTGCTAACCAGAAGGTTGGGCCTTCAAACCCACCAAACACTCTGGGGAAGGAAGACTGACCGCCTCTGAAACCCAGGGGGGGGGGGTCGCTATGAGTGGTAATAGCCTGGATGACAGTGGATTTGGTTTTTTTGTTTTTTTGGGTTTTTTTGGTAGAAAAAAATCCTCATTTTACAAGCGAGGGAGACTGAAGTCAGAGAGAGGAAATGGCTGGCCCAGGGTCACACACAATAGCAGAGATAGACTCCAAATCAGGTTCTCGAGGCTTCAAGGCCCTTCTCACTTCTGCACCTCCTGACAGCGAGATCAGAGGCTGGGAACTTGATTGGAAGACTGAGTCTGAAAAGGGGAAATCACACGGAGAGTGACCGTGATGCTTGGGGCCGGGGCAGCTGCCCGGTGCCCTGGGTTCTGCTCTGGAGCAGGACTGGCTAAGCCGGAGGTGGGGCGGGGGCACTGACACTTCACCCCAGGGCCCAAGGGCGGTCAGGAGGAGGAGCCAGGCTGACTGTAGACTTCTTCCCCAGCCCGTCACCCCCAGTCCTTTAGGCCCTAGGTGACCTTTCCCCCAGATCCCAGGGCGCAAACCCCGCCCGGGCCGGGAGGTGTGGGGTTAGAGGCCTCTGGGATTGGTCAGAGCTGGAAGGGGCGTGTCCCAGGCTCTGGCCGCCCCTGCCCGGCAGAGCAGACGGAGCAGGTGGACTCCCAAGATAGACTAGGGATCAAGGCAGCTCCGGGCCTGTCCCAGCGGCCCCCTGCCCTCCAGACATGGACCCGGCCCCCCTCGATCCCTGGCCCGGCGGCTCTGCGAGGGTTCAAACAGCCTAAGCGCCGGCACCCCAGGCCGGTAGCCCATGCCCCTGACCCGGGGACAGCCAGTCTCAGGCCTGGAGGCCATGGAGACGGTGCCCCCAGCTGTGGACCTGGTTCTGGGCGCCTCGGCCTGTTGCCTGGCCTGTGTCTTCACCAACCCCCTGGAGGTGGTGAAGACACGCCTGCAGCTGCAGGGGGAGCTGCAGGCCCCGGGCACCTACCCACGGCCTTACCGAGGCTTTGTGTCCTCCGTGGCTGCTGTCGCCCGCGCAGATGGGCTGTGGGGCCTGCAGAAGGGGCTGGCCGCAGGCCTTCTCTACCAGGGACTCATGAATGGTGTCCGCTTCTACTGCTACAGCCTGGCGTGCCAGGCTGGCCTCGCCCAGCAGCCTGGTGGCACCGTGGTCGCAGGTGCCATGGCAGGGGCACTGGGAGCCTTCGTTGGGAGCCCTGCTTACCTGGTGAGTGTCTTGTCTCATCCACCACCACCTGATACCCAGCTCCCAGGGGCCCCTGCAGCCTCCAGGAGCTGGGCACAGTGGACCTGGGTAGGGTGGGGCAGGCTGGGTGTGTCTGCTCCCAGGAAGACTCCAGCCCAGGCCTGGAATCTGCCCCTTGGCCTAGGGCACCTTGCCCTGAGGCTCACTCCCCCAGTATCCCTGCCCCACTGGCCCTGAGCCAAAGGAGGGGCCCTAAGGTGGCAAGAGGTGTAATGGCTCAGATCCTGCATTGTCACCTTTCTTCCTATGAGAAGAAAGTTAAGAGCAAAAGCTTCCACTGAGCAAGGGCTCCCCGTGTCCCAGGCGTAGGGCTGTGTGCTGGTCCGTCATCATCTCATGTAATCTTCAGAATGCACCTCCAGAGCAAGGAAACTGAGGCACACCTAAGATGCACACTTAGGCTGACTCCAGACCCTCACCCTCAACTCTATTCCACCACAACCCTCGAGCTCAGGTGTGGGACCAGCCATCGCAGCCTGGGTTTGGGGGACACTGGGAGGGGTGCCCTCAATACACATAAATCTCTCAAGTCTCCATCCCCAAACCTTCTGTCATCCCTGCTCTTGCAGGTCAAGACGCAGCTGCAAGCCCAGACAGTGGCTGCCATGGCTGTGGGACACCAGCACCATCACCAGGTGAGACCTCCACTCCCCAGAGCCCGCTAGACTGGGTTGGTTGGACTGGATGGGCTCCTGGGCTGGACAGGGCTGTCCAGAGACCTGTGCCTTCTCCCCACAGAGCGTTTTGGGTGCCTTGAGGACCATCTGGCAACAGCAGGGCCTGGCAGGACTGTGGCGGGGTGTTGGTGGGGCTGTGCCCCGCGTCATGGTGGGCTCAGCTGCCCAGCTGGCCACCTTCGCCTCTGCCAAGACCTGGGTGCAGGAGCGACAGGTGAGGGACTGGGTACACCTGTGTCACCCACATAGACACACAGGAGTTGGGGGGACCTGCTTCTTTTCTCCATGTCTGTCTGGACCTTCATCCCAGACATCTTCAGCTGGCCCCACACAGGAAATTTGAGGGGGTAATGACAGACAAGCAAAGCTGAGGGCCTTGCCTTTGCCCTTGGAGTAATGACCCTGGCCCTTGGGCCCAGCAGGAATGGGGTCAGCAGTGAACCTTGAAGCTGTGAAGGAACTTGGGTGGTAGAATGGGGGAAGGGAATGGCTGGAGGGTCCTGTCTGCTCCCTTTGCCCCAGCTCTCCCAGCCCCCATGCCTGGGGAGTAGAGGAGGCTATCCGTGGCTGGAAGAGGGTGGTTGCAGGGGTCAGCAGCCCGTGCCATCCCCACAGTGGCTCCCGGAGGACAGCTGGCTGGTGGCCCTGGCTGGAGGCATGATCAGCAGTGTCGCTGTGGTTGCAGTCATGACACCCTTCGATGTGGTCAGCACGAGGCTGTACAATCAGCCTGTAGACGGAGCAGGCAGGGTGAGCCGGGTGGGGTGGGAGCATGTGGGGTGCTAGAGAGCACACACACCCACAGACGTGTGACATATACACAACACAGTTCAGCTTGTTGGCTGAGCACCTGTGTCCCGTATCCATGCTAATGGCTTTCATGTTCCTATCTTACTCCATTCTTACTCACCATTTTCCTGATGAGCAAACTGAGGGTCAGAGACTGATCCAGTGACTTAGCTGAGGTCACCCAGCTGGTAGATGGAGAAGCCAGAAAGGGGATCCAGACCTGACTCTGGGGCCTTCCCATGGCACTGCCAGTCTAAGCCCAGGTACACATTGGGCCCTGTCACACAACAGTGTGCCCGATACAGAGGTGCCTGCCACAGGGCGAGTTAGGGGCAATGCCTACCAGTGTTCTACTAGCCACATCAAGCCCCTGACATGGGGTTAAGGTTGCCTGCCCTTTTCTGTAATTTGCCCAAACATGCGTGGGAAACTGCCTTTTTCTGATTGACCCCAAAACACTGTGCCAGCCCTGGGTCCTCACAGCCCTGGTAGCGACACCTGCCCATGTCCTTCCCTAGGGCCAGCTGTATGGGGGCCTCGCCGACTGCCTGGTGAAGATCTGGCGGCAGGAGGGCCCGCTGGCGCTGTACAAGGGCCTGGGCCCCGCCTACCTGCGCCTGGGTCCCCACACCATCCTCAGCATGCTGTTCTGGGATGAGCTGCGGAAACTGGCTGGGCGGGCCCAGTAGCAGGGCACCTTGTCATCTCTACCCCGACCCCAGCAAGGCTGGGTACACACCCGGAGCAACAGCTCACGACGGCAGGGGCCGGCCCTCCCAGAGGGCCACAGCCAGAGAGTAGGAGCTGTGGTCAGCTGAGCCTCGTAGCCCAACCGGGGCTGGAGCGTCTACCCTGAATCACTGCCCACTCTGGTCTCCTCCAGAAAGTTCTCTTCCCTCTGTGTAGAGAGTTAACTCATCCCAGAGCCTTACTCACTGTTAAAAGTAACTGCTCAGGGGCATGGAGCACTCACCTTAAACTGGGTGACTAACTTGCATCAACTCGCCTGATCTTCAAACATTGTGGAAAAAAACAAACCTAACTGGTTGCGGTCAAGGCAGCTCCCACTCCGGGTGAGCCCATGATGTCAGAACTGTGCTGCATGGGGTTTTCAATGGCTGATTTTTCAGAAGTAGATGGCCAGGACTTTTTTCTGCAGTGCCTCTGGTTGGACTCAAACCTCCGGCCTTTTAATTAGTAACCAAGCACATTAACCATTTAAACCGCCCAGAGACTTCCAAACAGCATGTGTACCCATTGCTGTTGAACTGCTCCCAACACACAGCAAACCTACAGAACAGAGAAGGGGCCATACTCGTTATGGAAGCAGATTGCCGTATCTTTCTCCTGAATTTCAGCTGGTGGGTTCCAAATGCTGCTAGCCTTTTGGTTAGCATCTGAGCACTTAACTGCTGCACCACCAGAGCTCCTTAAATAATGTGTTGCTCCTCACCCACCCAGAATGTTGTTGTTGTTGTTATGTGCCGTCGAGTCGGCCCCAACTCATAGCGACCCCTCCTTGGGTTTCCGAGGCAGTATCACTACGGAAGTAGGATTGCCCAACCTTCACCCAGAATGAGACAGGTGAAATTCTTTTACCAACGAGAAAGCTGAGGCTCAGAGACGTTAAGTGGCCTTCACCAAAGCCACACAGCTTTAAAGTGGCAGAGCCAGGCCTGGAACTTGGCTCTGATTCCCAGACCTGTGCCCTTGAGCTGGGCACTGCCATGCCAGGACTGTGGGGATGGGAGTGGCCCTGAGGGAATCACTGTACACATGGGGAGACCCTGGGGTTCACTGTAGGTTGGGGCCATATGGGCATTTGCACATATTCTCTCAAGAACTCTGAACGGGAGTTTGTGTATTGCCCATTGTTCAGGCGGTGAGACAGAGGCTCAAAGGGAAGTGACTTACCAAGTTGAGTTGTTGTTGTTGTTGTTGTTGTGTGCTGTCGAGTCGGACCCGACTCATAGCAACCCCTCCTTGGGTTTCCGAGGTGGTATCACTACAGAAGTAGATTGCCCCATCTTCCTTCGACTTCTGGTTAGCAGTCAAGTATCTTAGGCACTACGCTACCAGAGTAGATTAGCTAAGTCTCCTCATCCTGGGGCCAGAAACACTCCCCCCATAGACCTTGGTAGTGCAAAGATGAACACTGAGTCCCTGGAAGGGGCAGGACTTGTCCAGGGTTGAACAGCCTGAACCATCTACCCTACCATATCCCATGTCTGCCAAGAGCTGTTTCCTAGGTGTACCTCCTCCCCACCACCCCATTACCACACACTCCAAACCAATAAAGTTTTCTATTTTGTTTACTCCGATGAGTCCCTTTTGTTGGCAGCCTCAGTCTCCCTGATGCCTGAACCCTCTCTTCTGGCTCTGTCTGGGAAAAGATTCCAGGGGTCCAGCGCCAGCCTGGCTGACCCAGGTGACATCTGCCACCTAGTGGACACAAGGAGGAATGTCAAGGCGGGCAGCCCCAGGGCCCAGGAGAAGAGGGGACTCAGAGCTGGACTTGAGAAGAGTGAATCCAATCTCCTGCTATGAGAGGATTCACCTCCAGACCCACACCACAGACGTCAGAAGGATAGACTGACCTTAGGCTGTGGAGGCATAGGCCCCAAACCTCAGCTGACAGAGCAGACCTTGATTTTGGGGGGATAGACCCCCTCTTCCAGACCTTAGGCTCTCATACTTCAGGCTAAGAGAGAGCAGAACCTAGACCTTAGAGGAAGCCTGAGCTTTGGGGAGGAGAAAGTAAGAAAAGTGAGTGCCAGACTTTCACAGGACCCAGACAAAGCCCTCACCCCACACTGCCCAAATAGGGAGCCCCAGGGTAAGAACTGGGTCCCAGTGCCCCTTGTCCCTGGAGCTGGGGCTTTGCCCTCCTGCAGCCCGGTCCTGGAAGGGTTCTCTCCCTTCCCCTGCCCTGGGGGCATCTTCCTGATGGGGCTTTAACCCCTCCCAGCCCCTCCCCTCCCCTCAACGGCACCTTTGCCCAGTGACGTCAGTCTGTCCCAGCACAGGCCTGGTGGGAGGCGGGGACTGGATCCCGGGCGCCATGTTCTCCCTGCCGACCCTCCCCTCCTGGCTCCCTGGCCTCCCCTCCCTGGAGTGGGGCTCCAGCCTCCTGGACTCCCTCCTGCAAGGTGAGCACCTCCTCACAGCCCCGCTTCAGTCCCCACTCCCTCCCAGCACCTGCTCTGGGTGGTGCAGGTAGGCACCCACCCACTGGGTCTCCCACCACCCTGGCTGCCCCCTCCTTAACCCCATCCACCACACCCACCTCCGGCCTCCCTCCCGCCCCCACAGGCCTCATCGGGGCCTGCGGAATCTCCGTCCTAAGCAGCCTCCTGAAGGTTTATTTCTTTGTGGACTGTACCAAGTGAGTGCCTACCTCTCTGACCTGCTCTGGCCGTGTCAGCCCTGGGCCCTGCACTTCAGTTCTGGCTTCTGAGGGGAGGACTGTGGGGAAGACACCACCCCTCCTCACCCAGGGAATGTCTCCAGGCTCCCCTCCAGGACCCATAGCTGGTGGTTCCATACCCCTGCCCACCCATTCTGCCCCCATAGGGACCCCAAACGACAGCAGTCTAAGAAGGAGCAGCTGCAGGCCCAGTGGGCCTCACTGGAGACGGTGCACCTGGTGGGGCTGGCCTTGATCCTGACCGTCGTGGGGTCCCGGGTAGCTGCCCTTGTGGTGCTCGAGTTTTCCCTCCGGGCCATCTCTACCCTGCTGTCCGTGGGCAAGGTGAGCCTCACCCACAGGGCAGCCTGTGGGGGAACCACTGCTGGAACATGGAGGCTGGGTCCAATAAGAGGGTCTCTACTCTGAGTACATACAACCCCCACCCCAAGAAAGTTAACAGTGACAGCACCCGCGTATCACGAATTCCCAAATGCCAGGCACTGTGCTAAATACAAGGAGCCTTGATGGCACAGCGGTTAAGTGCTTGGCTGTTAACCGGAAGGTCAGTGGTTCAAATCCACCAGCCACTGCACAAGTGAAAGAGGTGGCAGTCTGCTTCAGTAAAGATTACATCCTTGGAAACTCGAAGCTCTATCCTACAAAGTTACAGAATCAATTAGACACAATGGGTTTGGGTTTGGTTTTTCAGGTGCCAAACACTGTGAGTGCATCACCTCTACTTAATCCTCACAACCACAGGGGTGAGGGTTTGCTGTGGTCCCATTTCACAGGGGAACTAAGGCTCAGAGAAAGAGGTTAGGTGGTTTGGCTACAGTCAACAACTAGCAGGGGGCAGACTCAGGCTTGACCAGGTCTTGCTGAACCACTACCCTTCAGCAAGCAGTTGGGTTCCAAGTGTCGTTATGTGCCATCAAGTCGAACCCAACTCATAGCGACCCCTCCTTGAGTTTCCGAGGCAGTATCACTACAGAAGTAGATTGCCTAAACTTCCTTCCAAGGAGTGGCTAGTGGGTTAGAACTGCCAGCCTCCTAGTTAGCAGTCAAGTGCCTTAGGCACTACACTACCAGAGCTCCTTGGAACCCAAGTAATTACTTGGAACCCAAGTAATAGGATTGAAATTAAGCAGAAAGAGATATTCCCATAGGTCCCAGTGTTCTTTGGGATCAATAACTAAGGTCCCTTCAGCCTCCTATAGCGTGGAGGATCTGTAACCTCACAGCCTCCTCAGTCCCTCTGTGGTGAGGGGTTGGCTGAGTGCCCACCACCGTGGCCCCTCATCTGCCTCCTCCCCACCCAGGGTTCACAGGACACTGAGAGGCTGCAGCTCTACCTGCTGTGTCAGTATTCACTGGGCTGTGGGCTGACCTGTGGCCTGAGCTTCCTGCAGGAGGGCGCCCCTCGCCGCACACTGAACCTGCTGCTGGCCCTCGGGCTGGCCGCGCTGCTTGGCACAGGGGCCTGGCGCCTCCACCGCCATGTCTACCGCCTCTACGAGTTGCACAGCAGCCAGCAGTACTGCGGGGTGTGCCTGGTCCTGCTGGCTGACGTGGAAGGCCTCCCTGTGCTGCTGGGCCGGGCCCTGACGGTGACCTTTGCTGTGGGCAACCTGGCGGCTGTGGCCCTCATCAACCAGGACTTCCTGACCACCTCAGAGGCCGTGCGCTTCTGGACCCCGCTCACCATCTGCTACACGCTGCTGGTCATCTACATGCAGGGTGAGGACTGTGGGCAGGGTCTGGGCAGTGTCCATGTCCCTGTCTGGCCTGGCTGAGCACTGTGCTGGGCCCTGAGGGGAAGAATAGTCAGCCCCGATGCCTGTCCTCCCAGAGCACTCGGTCCAGTGGCAGAGGTAACACAAGGGCCAGCTCAGAGAAGGGTGTGGTGTGTGGTGAGAGTTCCAAGGAGATGGTCTTTGAATTGGACTTTGAAGGATAAGTAGGAGCTCCCTAAGAGAGGAGGGCAGGGGCAGGGCACTTAAGGCAGAAGGAACTGTGTATGTCCTCCCCTCCTGGCCCAGAGGTGTGAGAGAGCGTGGTGGCATCAAACAACTAAAAGAAGTTGAGTGTGGCTGTCACCATAAGAGCCAGGGGAGGGAGTAAGGCTGGCCAGATGCTTAGGGAGCTAATCACAGAGCCAGACTGCACAATGGGAAGAAAAGCCATTGCAGGGCGTGAGGCAGGGGAGTGACGGGTCAGGTTTGGGCTCTCAGAGGAGCCCCCTGGCTGCAGGGTGGGGATGGGATGGGGTGGCAGTGGCAGGATAAGGAAGAGCAGACCAGGCAGAGGGAACAGCATGTGCAAAGGCACTGAGGTGGGAGTGAGTGTGGTACTCAATATATGGAAGAAAGCTTAGATGTCTGGGGGTCATGAGCAAGGGGGAGTGAGTCAGAGATGAGGTGAGGTTGGAGCAGGGGCTCGGCTTAGAGCAGCAAGACTGTCTAAGGTAAACTGAGGAGTTTAGGGTTTCCTCCTGATGGGGTGGGAAGCCCTGGGAGGCTTGTAAGCAGATAAATGGTTCTATCAAATTGATGTTTTGAGGAGGTCGCTTTGGCTGCTGAGGAGATGAAGGAGTATAGGTCAAGAATAAAGCCAGGAGCCCCGTGAGGGGCTGCTCAGTTGTCCTGGGGAAGAGGGGAAGGTGGCTTGGATCTGAGTGGGGCAGTGGGAGTGGCAAGGTATGCTAGGGGGCGTATTCTGCAAAAAGAGCTGCTGTGCTTACAGAGGGGTCAGATGTGGGTGTGTGAGACAGAGAGGAGTCAGGATGCCCCTGCCCCTGGGCAGGTGACGGTGCAGTCCCAAGGTGGCTAGACTGCAGGAGGAACAGATGAGCAAGGAGACTTGTGGGGGGACAGGGTCCTGGTGGGCAGAAGCATCTGGTGCCCAGTAGGTGCTCAGAGAGTGGAGGTAGGGCAAGGAGGAAGCAGGAGGGCTGCAAGGGGTGGGCAGGTGACACTGAGGTTCAGGGCCCCAGCCCAGCTGGATTCTCAGGGTGGAGCCCTGGGACGTGGAGGCCAGGTGGGCAAGCAGTGACCATGCCCACTTGCACCCCTAGAGGAGCAGCGACAGCACCCCGGCATGCAGAGCCAGGTGCAGACGGTGCTGGTCCGCATGGGCGGCCTCTTTGTGCTGCTGCTGACCGTGGGCCGCTGGCTGGACCTCCTGGGCATCCTTGTCTCCCTGCTGGGTGAGCTCTGGTGCCTGGCAGGCACCCGCACCCTGCTCCACCTTTGCCACAGACAGGTGGGCATCCCCAGACACTGGAGCCCTGCTCCAAATAGGGCCCAAGTTCAAGGGGAATCAGGGTGATCTCTGCCGGGGTGGAGGACAGAGGGAGTTAACCTTTGACCTCTCTGTAGACAGGCCTGGATTGTCCTTTGGGTCACTAGGAATGGGGAGGCTAAGCAGCAAAACGCCCCCAGACACACACACACACAGAGCCCACTTTACACTGCACCCTATAGGCCCCTGCTTGAAGCCTGGAATGAGGGAGGTCTTGGATAATAGGCCTAAGGCAGCCCCTGGGAGATGGGGTTGGGGTGGGATGGGGTGGGGTGGGGTGGAGAAGAGTGGTGTCCTCCATCCTTTTCTCCCCACCATCCGTCAGGATTTTCCATCCCAGAGTCCTTCTGTGTCAGCACCAAGGCAGCCCCGGCCACTGGCAGATGCCCAGCCCCGAAGCACGGCCCCTTCCTGACTGGCCTCAGGGAGGACTCAGATGGAGTCTCTCCGAGGCCCAAGCAGGCTGACCAGTGAGGCCTTGGGCCCAGGATGCTGCCTAGAGACAGAGGGGCAAGGCTGGGCCCCGCCTGGAGCTCAGGGTGGGCACTGGGGGCCTGTGGATACCCGAGAGGGTTTGGGCCTTGGAGCCCTCGGAGGGTGGGGATATCTGGAGGCTGCTTGGGTTGATTCCTCTTTTTCTCAGGTGGGCAATGGCTACAGCCCTCATGGAGCTGCTTTCCTGGGTGGGGGGAAGGGGGAGAATTGCCTTCTGAAAATGGCTTCCCCCTTTACTGGCCTCCCCTGGCTTCACCACAAACAATAAAGATGATGCTTTTTTCAACCTGTGCCTTAGAAGTATGAACACACAGAGAGGGTAAGAGACTCTTCTGAGGGCACACAGCTCTCCTGACTGGAGCAGGCTCCTGGATATCCACCCCAGGGCTGGCCCAGTCTTGGGCCACTGGAGGACAGGACTACTTATAGACAGAAAAGGAGTTTAGATGTCAGGGGAGGAGGGGAGCAGCAGCCCTAGATGGGTCAATACTGAGGTGGCTAAGAGGGTCATGTGGATGGGGTGGGCTGGTGTGTAGACACTTGCAGTCTTGTGTGGGGATGCCCATATTCTGTCTCCTCTGAGGCTGGGAAACAGGTGAAGGGAGCACAGTGCTGACAAGGCCTCGTAACGCCCTGCAGGGCCCCGCTCAGGGAGTCCACCGAGGGTATGGAAAAGATCTAGCCTTCAGAGTTGGGTACCTGTGCTCACTGTGTGACCTTGGACAAGCCACCGCACCTCTCTGAGCCTGTCCTAAGAGCAGCTGCCATGCATTGGGTGTTTACCATGCACCGGGCACTGTGCTGAGTATTTCTTGGGGTGGGGGGTGTAAATATGTATGTAACAAAACATATATCATTCAACATTCTTCACAGGTACAATTCACTGTTGTTTTTGTTGTTAGGTGTTGTTGAGTCAGTTCTGACTCATAGTGACCCCACGTACAGCAGAACCAAACACTGCCTGGCCTGCTCCATCCTCACAGTCGTTGCTGTGTTTGAGCCCATTGCTGCAGCCCCTGTGTCCAGCTCATTGAGGGTCTTTTTCCCTGACCATCTGCTTTCCCACACATGCTGTCCTTCTCCAGGGACTGGTCCCTCCTGATAACATGACTAAAGTACAAGAGATGAAGGTTCTCCATCCTCACTTCTAAGGAGCATTCTGGCTGTACTTCTTCCAAGAGAGATTGGTTCGTTTCTTCTGGAAATCCATGATATAGTCAATATTCTTCGCCAGCACCATAACTCAGATGCATCAGTTCTTCTTCAGTGTTCCTTATTTATTGTCCAGCTCTCACATGCATATGAGGCTACTGAAAATACCATGGCTTGATCAGGCACATCTTAGTCTTCAAAGTGACATCTTTGCTCTTTAACACTTTAAAATGGTCTTTTGCAACAGATTTGCCCAGTGCCAATGGTCAGATGACTTCTTCACTGCACTTGATTGCTAACCAGAAGGTTGGTGGTTCAAATCCACCAGCCACTCCTCGGAAGGAAGGTTGGGCAATCTACTTCTGTAGTGATACTGCCTCGGAAACCCAAGGAGGGGTTGCTATGAGTCGGGTCCGACTCGACGGCACATAACAACAACAACAAAGCTTTCATGGACATTGATTGTGGATACAAGTAAAATGAAATCCCTGACAATTTTACTCTTCTCTCCTTTTATCACAATATTGCTTGTTAGTCCAGTTGTGAGGATTTGTGTTTTCTTCATGTTGAGGTGTAATCCACACTGAAGGCTGTAGTCTTAGATCTTCATCAGTAAGTGCTTCAAGTCCTCTTTGCTTTCAACAAGCCAGGTTGTGTCATCTGCATATGGCAGGTTGTTAGTGAGTCCTCCTCCAATCCTCATGCTGCATTCTTCTTCATATAGTCCAGCTATAATGTACAATTATAGTGTACACTTTGGTGACATTGATTGTGCATCATCTTGTGCAACTATGTAACTATGCATATAAGAAAGCCATGGTGGAAGCATGACCTCCTTTAATTTGACAAACGGGAGAGAGAATCACTATCAGCATCAGCCAGTGCTGACTCCTAGGAGGCAGAGGTCACACAGACCACCTCTCTCCCACCTTCTTACCAATTCTGACACCAACTGTCCCTCTCATGATATTCTTTACTTCTCTGCTGGGTTCAATAATTCACTGTAGTGGCCACACAGAGCTCACAGACAATACTCATGATTATGGGGTTTATTAGGGATGTAACAGGTTACAATTCATGATCAGGAATGACTCAGGATACAGTTCTTCAGTCACCTCTTCTTAGCCATGCCCACAGGCAGGCCTCTTTCTGGCCTTCAGCCTCTTGGCTCCTCAGATCTTTTGGGACTATCAGCCTGGCCTCTGCCCTACTTGGGCAAGTGTTACAAAGCTCTTCAGTTCCACCAATAAGGGCCCAGGGCACCCCGCTCTGCCAGCAAGCCTCCAGCTCAAAGGCACCTAGCTTTCTTGCTCCTGGGTCAGCACACTCACTGTTACCACTTTGCTCAATGGGCCAGGAAGCCCACTGCACCATCTTGCACCAGTGTCCTGGTTCTGCTCCTACTATTTCTCTGCCATTGCTTCTCACCATGTGGCACTGTCTCCAGTATTACAGTTCTCTATCTGTCTCCCATGTCTAGGAGATTCTTAGTGCAGGGACTCTGAGTCCAAAGGACACACTCTGCTCCCATCTCTTTTTGGTGGTAGTGGTCTCCCTTCTGCTCTGAGATTGGCTCTCTTTTAAGCTTAACAGGATGGCAAAACTGACCAATCCCCTTGTTGGGGTTCCATACATCTTATTTGCATGGTCCCACCCCCACAAGTGTGCTATGCACTTTATTTGCTTTATTAGAAAGCTGTCCAATCCCTTTGTTGGACCACAGCACCTTATTTGCATAGTCCAACCCAATCACTTGGTGGGAGTTACAAGACCATGATGAGAAAGGCCATGTAAACGCAATCCACTGCACCACAAACTCACCATTTTCCATTTCCAGATTTTCCCATTACTCTTAACAGAAGCTCAGTGTCTCCTAAGAAATGATCCCCCCTCCACCTCCCACTTCCCTGCCCCTGGTAACTACCAATAACTTTAGGTCTGTGTACTCTTGTCTAGATATTTTATGTAAGTGGAATCATACAGTATTTGTTCTTTGGTGACTGAGTTATTGCACTCAGTGTGATGTTTTCAAGGTTCATCCTTCTTTAGCATATATCAGGAATTCTTTTTTCTTCCTGAGTAATAGTCCAATGTATGGATAGACCACTTTCTGTTTATCCCTTCATCTGTTGATGGACATTTTGCTTGTTTCCACCTGTGATGGTTAAGTTTGTGTGTCAACTTGGCTGGGCCTGGTTGAGTTGGCTGGGCAGCTAGATGTAGTATTCCCCATGATGAGAATGGTAATCAGCTCATGATGAGAACTGTGAGCAGCTGAATAGCTGCCTTAGGGATGTGGTCTGCTTCCTTATAGAAGGAGAAGCCTTGGGGAATGGTCTCTAGCTTATGGCACGCTTGAACCCTGCATATAGCTGAGTTGCTGTTCAGCAGCCTGCCATGCTCTGCCATGACTTAATGGCCTGCCATGTGTTTCGGTAACATCAGGTCTGTGCCTTTTTACTTGTCAACCTTGGGCTTATCAGCCTCAGCAGCCAGCAGCTGTCTGAGTGAAGAAGGCCTCAAGCTTCAATGGGCCAGGAGCTGGAGGCAGAGCTGAACCCCAAGACTGAAGGGCTTTCACCCAGCCCCTAGAGCCGGGCACTTTGAACTTGGACTTGAAGGCTGCAAACTGTAAGAGAACAAACTCCTGTTTGTTCAAGCCATCCCATTTGTGGTATATTCCTGTCAGAGCGGCACTAGGGAACCAGAACACCACCTTTTGTCTATTGTGAATAGTGCTGCAGTGAGCCTTGGTGGACATGGATCTGTGTTCCTGTTTCAGACCTTTTAGGTTTATACCTACTAGTGGAACTGTTGGATCGTATGGTAATTCTACATTTAACTCTTTGGGGAACCACCGGACTACTCTCTATAAACCACCAGCAATGGATAAGGGTTGCAACTTCTTCACGTCCTTGTCAACATTTGTTGTTTTCTGTTTTTTTTTTTTTTTTTTTTTTAATGATCTTATTTCATTTTGATACAAGCCCTAAGAGGCAGGTACTATTGTTATCCTTTTATACAGGTTCAGAAACTGAGTCTCAGAGAAGTTAAGTAACTTGGTTAAGATCACACAGCTAGTAAGTGGCAAAGCCAGGATTTGAATCCAGGCAGCCTGACCCCAGAGCTCAAGTGCTTTATATACTCCCTGATGCCCTCTTGTTGAAGATTTTGGTCCAGGAACACTAATAGGTAGGTGTGAAAATTATGGCCAAGCCATTCCTGGCAAGCTCAGAAATGTGGTTCTCCCTGCCTTTCGTCCAGGGCAACATGAGGCTCCACCACTGCGATGATCTCCGGGCCCAGGCCCACAGACCCACAGGGAATATGGGTCCACAGGCATTGAGGGCCCTAGCTCAGAGCCCTTTTTCAGGAGAGACCCCACAAGGCCTAGGACATTTCTAGCTGATGGGCTTCCATGGGGCTGTGAGCGTCACAGTTGTCTGGAAGGCACCAGGGAGGAGTGGAGCCTGGAGAAGGGACTTTAAGAGTTCCAGGCTCTGATGGGCCTCCACCTCTCAGCAAAGGTCACCTCAGTTACTCAAAGGCAGGCCTGGCAGTCTCCACCTCCCACCCGCTGGAGTCAAGGCTGGGGCTGTGCGGCTTCAGCTTCTCCCTCCAGGAATGACCACTTCTTGGTCAGCCTGAGCCCAATCTCTTACCCTCGCTCCTGGCCCTGCCACCAGGATGGACCTTCTGCCCCAGGATGTGGTAGCTGAGGTGAACTGCCTGTAGCCACCCCCTTCCCCAATCAATGCAGGACCCAGC